CCCCAAAACCCCAAAACCCCAAAACCCCAAAACCCCAAAACCCCAATTCTCTCATTTTCGGTTGAAAACATTATTATGAGAGCAGCTGATGCAGTGCTGAACTAGCCATAACATCAATCTTTGGAGCATCTATTTGCTGGAAGAGCCATGTGGGTATGTTCTTTACCTCAGGTCTCTTATTCATTATGGCTGCGGCTGCTAATTCCCGTCCCCATTTCTTCTCCTGCATAAGCATATGTATTCAGACTGCTGCACTAAGATTTCCTTGCAAACAGTATATGAGAACTGCTCCTTCTCCATCATCAATAGTAGTAGTGACAAGAGTCTGAAGTTCTTCAAAGTCCAAATCTGGTTTGACTAGCTCATCCATTTTGAGATGGATATACTTCGAAATGCACTTGGATTCCTCCATATTTTCAGCCTCATTAGGTGTCATTCCAATCAGCTTTGTGATATTCAGGTTTTTAAAATGTTCCTCATTCAGAGAATTAATGAAGTTGCCAAGGAACAGCTTATTTGGAATAATCTCGCTTGGGTAGCGTGACTCAGCCTTCTTCACTTCTTCTTCAGTAGATTCCGAGTTTAGTCATAAGAATGGATACTTTTCATGAAAATCTGCGAATCCATTTTTAAGTTTCATTATTTTATGGAATGCCAGAACTTCTTTAAGCAGAGGTTTAATCCCCTCAACGTCCTCATCAGCTACAGAGGTGACTATTATAAGTCTTCTATGAGTATCAGTAGTATCCCTAAGTCTATCCTGACTAGTCTTGCAATATTTCAGAAACTCAGGAAGCTTAGTCTCAATATCTTCAAGTGTGAAATTAAACGAGTCTCTGAGATGATTCTTCTCGAATTCTTCGGCAGGTCTGACATCAAGTATCAGAAGATGCCTCATATCCTGTAGTAAGTTAAAAGCAGTTTCCCTTGTGATTTGGATGATCTTATCAGCTTGCTGTCTCTTCTTCTTCTCAGCTTGGATCATTGCTTTCATGTCTATAGCTCCACTAGGAGCATATTTATCACTCATTTAGTTTAATTTTATGCAAAAATGATTGAAATTTTTAAATAAGGGATTTCAACCAAAAACTTGACAAAAGGGGTTTTGGGGTTTTGGGGTTTTGGGGTTTTGGGGTTTTTGGGG